GCACTGCCGGATTCCGGACACCCCTGCGTCTGGGCCGAATACCCCATGCCAGCATTGAAGTAGCGCCCACCACTCAGGCACCGACAACAACAACCGTCAGTGTATGTTTGACGAGTCTTGTGGGTGTCGGTTGGCGTTCTCCAGGTGCCTTTGACATCCCCCGTCACGCCCCGAGGCCCCATTGCGTGGGCTCCCGCCTCCGGCCTCCGCAGGTCCCTGGAGGTCGGCGCGAGAGTCCAGGAGGCCTCTGACCCAGGCAGGGCCCAAGAAGAAACGTCGATCCTCAGTTTTTTGTTGCCGAGAGAGAGAGAGAGGAAGGAAGAAAGGAAGAGAGAAAGAGAGAGAGAGAGATAGAGATGATCTGTTTCTCTCTGTCTCTCTCTCTCTCTCTTTTTCTGTTTCTCTCTTTCTCGCTGTCTCGCTCTCTCTCTCTCTCTCACTCTCTCTCCAGGAGGAGCAGCAGGAGCCGCCGGAGCGAGGAGGAGCAGCTGGCGCGACGGGGGAGCGTGCGCGGCGGCCCGCAGGCTGCCAAGCTCGCCGAGCTCCCCGAGGTGCGCCGGCGAGCCGAGCTGCGGGAGTCGCTCTGCGCCGCGGCGGCGGGCGGCGCGCTGGCGGCGGGGGCCGCGGGCACCGCAGGCGCCCGCGGCTCACCGAGCGCGTTCCGCCACTCGCAGAGCGCCTACGCGTAAGTCGGGCACGTCTCTCTACAGGAGGGATGCTAAAAAAGAGTGAAGAACAGTCTGGGGGCGATTTGTGTGTACCCTTTTTGTCTACCTTTGAATCTGTTTGACTAGTTCTCATTTCTCGTTTAAGCTCCGCCTGTAGGGGGGCATGCCCGACCTAACGCTACTCGCAAAGTGGCTACTCGCAAACGTCGGAACAACCACAAACAATGATTTCCTCCTGTGTAATGGAGCGTGAATCGCCCGCGGTGGGCGTTGCACGTTTGCGAGTGGCTGCTTTGCGAGTAGAGTGGAACGCGCTTGTCGAGTGGCGGAAGGAGAAGGGCGGGGAGAATCTGAGCCCGAATCTCAGCATCGTGGGGGGAATGCTCCAACGTTTTCTGGGCCTCTCGTGGACTCTCTCCCGTTTCCCAGCCTCGGGACGGTCTCCGGCAGCTGCGCCTCGTCGAGGGCGTTCCGGGGGTGCCAGAGTCGTTCCAAACGGCCGCTGGAGAGCCGCGCTTGGGTCCTGAGTCTGAATCTGCCGCTGCGCCGTTTACTCCACCGCGTGCCCTGGGGAGGGCGCCGCGAGCCACCAGCGCCGGGAGCGCCGCGGGCCACCGCGCCTCGGGCGGTGTGGGTTTGCCGTCGGTTTGCCGCGGTGCCGGCTTCGCCTACACGGGCGCGGCGGGACCCAACGGCGCGGCGGCATTTGAATGAGGGCTCGCCGTCAGCCCGTGAAAGAACACATAACTTCTCCTGCTCCCGGATTGCACTCGGACGGCCCTCCCTCCGAGTTGGCTTTGCGTGCAGCACGACGGAATCGTGCCGCCTCGCGCCGAGCCTGGATCTGTGCCTGGCGAGGAAAGAGAGGGAGCGAGGAGGGGGGATCTGCGGGGAGGAAGAAGTGGGAAAGGGAGGAGGAGGAGGAGGAGGAGGAGGAGGAGGATATGGAAGAGATGTGGCGCGCACCCCGACGGCACGTAAAGGTCTTGTCCAGGAGGAGGAGGAGGAGGAGGAGGAGAAGGAGGTGGAAAAAATTGACCATGCGGAGGAGGAGGGCTCATGCAGATTTTGTCGAGGC